AAAGGAAAAATACTTTCTATTTTCATATGAATCTGCTTCACACAATTATGTATGTTTGTTACACTGTAGAATACTGAATCTGCCCTCAATATATAGTATGCCTTTAATTCATTCAATGAGACAATTTGATTCGGTACATGCATTTTATATAAAGGACTGGATTTTCGTTTTTATTTCGGTTCACCAGCTAGTGTTAATCTAAATTAAATGAAGCTCTTAATCAATTTTAATTTATCATGGTGCATGGTAGTACTAGTACACAAACATCGATCACACATATGCCTTTCTCACTCATCCTATCTAGTAATAGTATTTACAGCTCCTGATACAAAAAACTGTTCATATATGCATCTCATTAAATATATTTTCGTTTTGTGGTGCACGTACCAAACAACTTCGTCTAAAGTTAAATGCAATATTATTGATATAATTATTAATTCACCCGATTCTGTAACAGCTGCAGTTTTCATTTTCTCATATGATGAGTAACAGTAAAAACAAAAAAAGAGGTTTATTACTAATAAAAAGAAACAAGCGAAAATGGGTTGAGAAATGTGCATGAGAATGGAGAAAAAAGCAAAGAAAAGGAGGGAGATAATGCCACACCAAAACTGGTTGCCTTCTCAACATCTCTTTACTCACCCAAACCACTTATTGCACTTACTCTCACTCTCTCATCAAACCCTATTTCTTCTCTTCTCCCACTCCCAACTCATGAATTCGCTATTAATTAAAATGATGTTAAGGTGATTGTTAAAGACATTTAAATTTTTACATTGATTGATACAAATGTCCCAATGGAAAGGAAATGAAATGTAGATATGTTGGTGCAGTTACAAGATTTCATTTGGGTTATAGCATTAAATCTAAATGTAATTGGGTACTATAGATTATAAATGTGCTAATTAGGCGAAAAATCTTAAGGGAATTTTTTATATGACCTTGCTTCCATTGCATGATAGGGATCCAGATTCGTGGTAAAAATATCCGGACCCGGATCCGTGGCCTTCGGATATCCGGACTTTAGATATCCGACAAAAAATAATGATATCCGCAGATATCCGAATTCGGATTCGGATTTATT